TACAACACACACAAACACACACACACACATACACACAATAACACACACACAACACACACACACATACACACAATAACACACACACAAACACACACACAAACACACACACATACACAAACATAAATAAGATTTATTCCATTCTATACAATTCAGACCCGGCCATCTTGCTGTCCTTTTTTATATGCGCGCAAAAAATTTTTTTCAAGACAGTGAAATAATTTGAAAAGATGAAAAAAATTACACTAAATCTTTTTCTCTTTCTTCATTTTTGTTTCTTTCTTTCTCTCTCTATTTCTCTTTTTCTCCCTTCCCCCCTCTCTCTCTCTCGAAAAAAATGAAATTTTTGATTATGGCTATGCATGTCTTTGCGTCATCGTCATCTTCTTCGTCATCATCATCTTCTTCTTCTTCTACTTCATCATCCTCGTCCTTATCATCATCATCTTCTTCTTCTTCATCATCATCACCTTTCTCATCATCATCCTTTTCTTTATTATCATCATCGTCATCATCATCATCATCATTCTCGTCATCGTCATCATCTTCAGCACCATCACATCAGAATGCAAATTAATTTTTCATTGCCGTCCAGTTATTAATCATCAATATTATTTCCGCCAACATCGTCACAAAATGATCATCATTATCGTCGTCGTCATCATCATCGTCATCGTTATCATCATCATCATCATCATCATCGTTATCATCATCATCAATATCATCATCAATACTATCGTCCCCATCTCTATCACCATCTTCATTGGTCACCGAACTTCTAGCATTTCTGATATATACATTTTGCTTGCGCTTCTTCTGCCTGGATAGATTTTGAAGGTGATGTTGAGGTGATATGAATTAAAACATTGATTACAACAACAGCAACAGCAGCAACAACAACAACAATAATATCAACAACAACAGCAGCAGCAATTACAAACATACATACATACATACAAACAAGTGTTGTTTCATTGCTACCTCTACATAAACAGTAAATAATTCTTAGGGGATACAACAGTTAAACTAGTAACAACTTACATATAAATGTATGTGTGAATGTTTGTTTGTTACTTTGTATGTTTGTTTGTTTGTGTGTGTATGTTTATGTATGCACGCTGCATAGCAATCTGCATGCAAACTAAACCTCAACATAAAATTTATAATTTGTCGTGACTTCACGCGTCATGGCAGACAAGTGCAAGTATAACACACATACACACACAAACAAACAAACATACATACAAACAAATAAACAAACAAACAAACATACACACTTACATACATTCATTCATTCATTCATTCATTCATTCATTCATTCATTCATTCATTCATACAAACATACATTTATGCTTTGTTAATTTTGAAATTAGGCTAATCGAAGCGGAATTGGACTACTTTTGAAAAGATCTCTTTGAAAAAAAACTTTTCAAATGGAGTGAAAAAGAAATGAAATAGAAAAAGAAAGATCATGAGGGTAAATAGAGGGTACAATAAATACGTGATAAAGAAAGAGAGAGAGAGAGGAGGGGGGGGGGGGGAGAAAAAAATAAAAATTAAAATTCCCGGGGATCGTCAAAGTGTTATTATGGGTAAAATCTTGATTGTCTGTGTTTGCTTGCTGCTGCTGATGATAATGATGGGAGTAATGATGACCACTTTTATGATGACCACCACCATGATGATAAAGATGATGACGATGATGATGATGATGACAATAAGTTGATATTGGCGATCATAAAACGTGGATTAGCATTAGTTACAATGACGGGAGACCAGTGCAATGCGATGATGATGATGATGATGATGATGACGATGATTATGATGATGACGATGATGACGATGATGATGACGATGACGATGATGATGACGATGATGGTGGAATTATTAGCAATGGAGACGGTGATTTTTATGACTTCGCCGGTTAAATAATATTTCATCTTTCCTGGAAACATATTCGGACCATCTAATATATTTTTTCATTTTCTCTCTTTCTCTTTCTCTCTCTTTTGTTCTCTCTCTTTTTTCTCCTTCTTTTATTTGCGTTCTTTTTTTTTGTCTTTAACTCCTTTTATCTCGTTCATTCAAATGAACATTAGCCCACGTGCAAATGAATAACTATTAAAAAACATACTAACAAACAAACAAACATACAAATAAACATGCATACAAACAAACAAACGCCCACATACACGCAAGTTCTAAATTTGCGCACGGGCGAATGACAACAAAAGCGTATTATGAGTTGACCATCATCAATAAAGAACTGGTGTGTGGGTTTTGTATGTTTGTGTATGTTTGTTTGTCCGTTTGTTTGTTTGTTTGTTCGTTCGTTTGTTGGTTTGTATGTTTGTATGTATGTATATATGTTTGTTTGTTTGTTTGTATGCATGACGATCCTGCTGTAATAATTTTTTAATTTTACTTTTGAAAATTTCTTTTAGTTTTTTTTGAGACGGTTGAAAAATTTTAATTGAATTCATCTTAAAAGAAACTGCCCGAAAGTTAAACAAATCAAACTAATTAAAAATTAATAACTAGATCATTATTAACACAGCATCATCACCAACAACAACAACATCACCATCATCATCAACTACAACAACAACATCAACAACAACAACAACAACAGCATCAACAACAACAACCACAACAACAACAACGACATCTCTAACACCAAAATGAACAGCAACAACAAAATCAACATAAAAAACAATAACAACAACATCAACAACATCATCATCATCAACTATAACAACAACCACAACAACTACTACATCAACAACATCAACAACAACAACTACAACAACAACTACAACAACTACATCCACAACATCAACAACAACTACAACATCAACAGCAGCACCTCATTCAGACGTCAGTATTTTATGCTAGTTTAGATGTTCCAAGCGTGCCACGTTGAAATAAAAATTTTTGTCGCGAGCTTTCGCTGCTGCCGATACTGTTGTTAATGTTTTGTTGTTGTTGTTGTTGTTTTGATGTTGTCGTTGGTTCGCACTTTATATTAATCCTATTTAACGTGCTGGAAATAGATTTCAACAGGCAAAAAAAGAGACTGGTTGCTTCTATTGCCACCACCACCACCACCACTACTACTACTACTACTACTACTACTACTACTACTACTACTGCTACTGCTACTGCTACTACTACTACTACTACCACTACTACTACTACTACTACTGCTACTACTACTACTGCTGCTACTACTACTACTACTACTACTACTACTACTACTACTACTACTACTACTAGTAGTAGTACTGCTGCTACTACTACTACTACTGCTGCTGCTGCTGCTGCTACTGCTGCTGCTGCTGCTGCTGCTGATACAGTTACAATTATTTCTCTTTTGAAAATAAAGTTATAATATGGCGATTTTCGGCATTGAAGACGCATGAAACGACCAAAAAAAGATCATAAAAGTTTTAAGAATTTAATTTCGCAAAAATGAAGCGCCCTATCGTCATTCACGCGTCGTCGGTCGGACGCCATGATCGATGGAGGAGACTTCCTTGACGTTTGTTTCAAAGACTTTTCACTCTTACTTAGCAACAACAACGACAACATAGCCACTGCTTGTATTAATAATAAACTACTACTACTACTACCGCTGCTGCTGCTATTACTACTACTATTACTACTACTACTACTACTACTACTACTACTACTACTACTACTACTAAGCTAATAATAATAATAATGATGATGATGATGATGATGGTAATGATATGGTTATTAATAGTATCGATAAAAACCCACCACCGCCAATTGGAAGCAGGATACGACGAAGATGGTGTACAACAACAGTACTTTCAACATAACCATCTACACCTGCTCTGAGGCGTACGGTAAGCTCTTTGTGGGCTATCAGCTGTTCGTCATGTTCCTCATGCCATCCGCCATCTTGGCCTTCTGCTATAGTCACGTGATCAACGTTCTATGGAATTCGACTAGGCAGCTATACAGGATGGAGTTAGTGTGGGATTGTCTTTAGCTGTCGTTGTGTGTGCGTGTGTTTGTATGCGCGTGTGTGTGTGCGTGTGCGTGCGTGCGTGCGTGCGTGTGCGTGCTCTTAAAAAACTGTTCAAAATATCTTTTTGTAAATTTCCATTATAACTGTCAATCATACGCTGAAAGGAGAAAATTTATTTACAAAAATAAGTTTCTTAAATTCTAAAATGAATCTCGTCACAGTCGTTTTTGTGTGAATGAGTGAATGAATGAATTTATGTGGATATGAATTCAGTGTGTTTGTAGCAATATATGTGTGTATTTGTGTTTGTGTGTGTGTGCGTGTGTGTGTGTGTGAGTGTGAGTGTGTTTGTATGTACATCCTTACTTATTCAAATGATTGATTGCTCCCGTTGTTTGTTTACGATTAGTCTTTTTTGTACGTGTCTAGTTTAGTTATACTAGCACACACACACACACACACACACACACATATATATAAGTACACGTACACACACACAGACATCAGCAGCAACAACAAAGCCAAAATTTATTTACCCACACATACCTATCCCACAGTAGAAATACATTGGAATTATATATAAGCGCTTCGTGATCATGCAACCATTACGACACCCAAACAATAAATATTTATCTGTGCATGTATGTGTGTGAGTGTGTGTGTGTGTGTGTGTGTGTGTGTGTGTGTGTGTGTGTGGGTGTTTGTGTGTGTTTGTGTATTTGTTTGTTTGTACGTTCAACGTGGTGTGTATGTGATTTTGTTTTATGTTTATTTAATTGACATGGTTGACAGAACAGACAAACAAAATCTACAAACACCGACACACACACACACACCAACACGCAGTGGAGGGAAAAATATTTTTGTTCTTCTCTCTCTCACTTTTTCTCTCTCCTTCAATTTTGTTCTGTCGTCCATATTTTCGTTTTTATGTTTCTTTCTCTCTCTCTCTCTCTCTCTCTCTCTCTCTCTCTCTCTCTTTCTTTCTGTAATTAATTTGCAGGCAGAGAAACAAACACAGCACCCACCCACAAACACACACTTAATGATGATGACCAATTATTCACATAGGAATTCATTTGTCGGCATGATGGATTGATGATGACGATGATGATGACGGTGATGATGACGATGACGATGTGACGACGAATTTGTTGTTTTTATTTTTACATACAATTCAATTGGCTCGGTTTGGTAATGTAAATAAATGGCAGGATTAATTGCATTGCTCAACGAATGTGTCTTGATTGGTTGGTTGGATGGTTGGATGGCTGGATGGACATGTAAACAAATAAATGAATAAACGGTTGAATGAATAAATGAATGAATGAAAGAATGAATGAATAAATGAACGAACGGAAAAACATGAATTAATGAATTGATGACTCAATTGATAATTTCAGTAAAAGCCCGACAGAGGTTGACTAATTTAAAGATTGATTGATTGATTGACTGAATGATTGATTGAATGATTGGTTGACTGATTGGTTGATTGATCGATCGATCGACTGATTGACTAATTGCCTACTTGATTGACTGTTGACTGGCTGCTCAAATGTTTCAAGCAAGCAATTATATGACGTACGTGCTGACGAACGAACGAAAATCATTCCATCACTTCAGATCAATGAATAGCATGCTTCAACCAAACAACAACAACAACGTCAGCAACAACATTAACCGTAACCACAACAACATCAACAACAAAACTACATTAAAAGTTGACAACCGCAACATAAGATTAGGGGGGCTACGCCCTAACTGCTCATACGATATCAGAGAAATTAGGAAACAGGTTGTTGTTGATGTTGTTGTCATTGTTGTTTTGTGTACGTTGTTGGTGATTAGTCAGCCATTAAAAAATAAAAATATGTACACACACACATACACACACGCGCACACACACATACACACACACACGCACACACACACATTCACCGACACACAGATAATCAAGATGTTGTTGGTGATCATCGTCGTCTTCTTTCTGTGCTGGGGTCCGAAATGGATTTTTTTGGTTTTAAAGAGGTTCGAGGCTGATCTGATTCAATCTCACGCTCTGTATTATGCTATGGTGGGTTAAATGGATGAATGGACGAACGAACGAACGAATGAACGAATGAAAAAATGAATGAAGGAAGGAAGGAGTGAATAAGAAAAGAAGCGCAAGATAGTAATGAGTGAGAGATTGATTTTATTGATGATGAAAGGCGAATCCATTACTCCAAGTTTTAGGAATGAAAGATTGCTTATTATTCATAGTAAAAAAGTAATCAGTAATGTAAAATATAAATAAATTTTTCTTGCACCAATCCAACAGTTGGTCATAAACACCCTGCCCTATCTGCAAAGCATGTCCAACCCGTTCATCTACTGCTTCATGTCCAGAAACTTTAGAAAAAGTATCAGACAGGCGTTCAGGAAATGTTTCGTCAGGTGTTGTGGTTGTTACTTGAGGTGCTCCGAAATTTTTTGCGTCTTTTGTTGTTGTGGTTGTACATTTTCGAATGAAAGTAGCAGAAGAAAAACAATTGAGATAGATAGGAGAAGGGAAAGAAAAACTGTAGCTAGAGCGGATGTAGCGAAAGAAGAAGCATGCGTGGAGCCTGTTGTCGGTGCAAAAATCTTCAAACAGCGCTCAAAACCTGACTCTAAAAATCGCCCGAACGTTTATTCGCTACAATCTGATCAACAACAGCAGCAGCAACAACAATCTAAGAAGCGACAAAGAAGCCAACTATGTAAAAGTCTAGAAAATTGCACCAAGAAAAGCGAGAACAGCCAAACGAGTGAATTAGCGAGAGGAGGAGAGGAACAAAAACTTGGTGCAGGAGGCCAACAACTGAACCACAGAAACGCAGCAGCAGCAACGACATCATCGGCAACATGGCATCACGTGGAGGAGACAGAGAAGAGAGAATTATTCAGCGACGATTCGATGCATCTGAGAGAACTACATGACATCGAGAGAGAGATGGATATGAGTGGTCTGGTGGCAGAACTTGAAATCGAGGTACTCAACAGAAGATCGCAAAAATAAAAATATTTGCCGCGGTTTTTGTTGGTTTCCTACGTTAAGTAAATGTTTAACACGCTCTCAAAAAGAAACACACCTGTAAAAATACAACTCCAACCTATGAACAGTCTGTATTTAGACGTGATTGTCTCTTGAATTTCATTTGATTTCATTATTTTACTGTCACTCATGTTCGTGCAGATAGATGTAGCAAGAAATATTCCTTCTTGTGGGCAAGGAGTTAAGACAAGGAAATGTACAAAAGTACAGACAATACACCGATAATAATATTTCCCTGGAATGTTCAATTCTATCTAATGTAGTTCGAATGCATCGTCACACTTACAATGTTTAACTCTACATCGAATTCTTTCGTTAATAATGAAATTGAAGTAAAAACTGCTGGCACTGCTGGTGTGTGTGTGTGTGTACGTGATGGATTGATTCACACGACGAACCACTTACTATCACTGGACTTGTGTTATTATTGACTTACGTTAAAATTACATTCCACTTGTATTTTAGTATGATACTTCAAACAAACAGTCAATGTAGATTGATTTTTTTTGTATAAAATTCAGAGTTGTGTAACTGTAAATTGAACATTATTTAAAGACCAAATTTAAAAAAAAGGGTAAGAAATGAATTTAAGTTCAAAAACAGTTTTCTTTGTTTGTTATAACAAAAATATAAACTGGAATATAAATTAATATAGCAAAAAACAAAAATTAGAAGCAATGACATCAAAGGACACATTGTAAGCAAGTAACAAAAATAAAACAAATTCAAGATATGCAGATTTCAATGGTCATAAATGTTGAGTGTTTGTAAAATTACAAAAAATAGTAACTGTAAATTTACATAGAACTGTAAAGGTAGCAAGGAAAATGAAAAACGGCATTGCATCAAATGTTAACAATGACGCGAACCAACTGTCTGTTTGCCTGTTTTTTTTTGTCATTCCGCAGGTCAAATTTGATCTGATCAGGTATCAGCATGGATTGCAGTTCTTCTGGAAGATAATATTTCTTGGCTGCTGTTAAACAGCACTCTCTCAACGAATAAACTGAAAAAACAATAATTTCATTTCGTCAAAATTAAATAACAAATAAAATAACAAATTAAATTTCAAAATAAAATACTAAAAATAAAAATTAATTAATAATGAATGATTAAATTAACATTAAATTAATATTAAATTTATTATTTAATCAACCTCTTGAGGAATGAGAAATTGCAAATAGCAATATTATAAATATTATAAAACTAAAATATCACTAATCCCAAATTAGATTACTTATAAGCAGCAGCAGACACAAACCAACTTAACTAACTAACCAGGCAGTCGGATAAAAACGGTTTCAACATTTTTGCCATCACAAGGTTTTGGCATATAGTATTCCTCGCCCTTGCTTGTCACCAGATATTCATCATTGTCCGCATCGGCAAAGGCCCATGGGTGACCGACGTAAGTGTAGATGGTGATGTGGTCGCCGTAATTCAGCTGGGTATACCGGACGCGGATACCCTCAAAATTTATCCAAAAAATGGCAACTAGCCGCTTGACTTGATTGACAAAACGCACGAACGACACTCTTTGACTTTTTGTAGATCTTAAAACTTGTTTTTCTACTCCCATTTTTTTTTTTACTGGATTTGAAATTAGGAATTTAAAATTATTTACGCCTATTTTTAAACTGATTTTTAAAATTTACGACGGCAGCGTAAAAAAGATAACGACAAACTGAAGTTAGATAGATATTCCACGTTCAATGAACATTAATTTAAATTTAAGTTTGCTTCAATTGATGTATAAATCACACATATAACTACCGGTTATTACAAAATTTTACTAAGTTGTAATCTTTAAAATTTAACAAAATTTGTCCAGAAGGCAAAATCAGAAACATTGAGTCTTACAACTCTATACGAAGACGAACATTTCATCAAGGAACAATCAACATACTATTATTAGTTTAAAGAGTCACCTGTTAAATGACGTATTGTTTAAGAGTTAATTCTATGATATGATACTTTCCTTATTTAATTATTGTCTCCACACATTATTGAGAAAAAAAAGAAAACAAGTCATTTCAAGATTGAACCATAACGAGAGTCCAGAGTCCCGTATTTATCAACAATTGTGTCAGATGCAAATTCAGCAACCGGATATTCACAAGTGGCATCATTTTTCTTATCTAAATCGTGAAAATTATAATATGAAACATATAAATCTTGAATTTCAATTTAATTTTAATACAGTTTGTATAGAAACTTCAGCAAAAATCTAACCAGTATTAAGTGCGGCAATATATGTATTAACTTTTGTTGCTCTCTTGAATAATGCTTCAACCATATGCTGAATGTATGCCTTGAAATGTTTTAGAAATTATGTATTTGAACAATTTTTCAAATTCAAATTTAATTTTCTCTCATTTCGACTTGTTATTTACCGTAATAATTCTGCGTATGTTGTATTGGACGTCCCAAGTTAAGGATAGATCCGTGATGACTGTATACTCGCCTGGTTTGTCGAAAGAAACCGGAAAGTGAAAAAATATTCCGTAGTCTACGTCGTACCAATCTTATTTTAATGGAAATTTTTTAGTAGTAGAAATATAACTTTTCAACAAAACTTTTTTAAACCATTTTGTAGCAATGAATAAATCATGTTTGCAAACTGTTAAAACAACACTTTTGAAGAAAAATTGTGAACATACTTTGAGACATGATGCACACGGAATAGATGCCTTCATTTCCAGATCCACTCCACCACATTTTTAAAAAATTTGCCGCCAGATTCGACATCGACATTGCATTGTAGATTCCTTCACCTACAATTTTTGCGCATAGCGAGTTCAAAAAATTTAAAATTTCATCAGAATTCGCTCTTTTAAGATATTGAGATAAATTTTATTGCATTTAAACTAATTTTATACAAATTTTACCGGAATTCTCCACACTGTTCAACACTTGCCCAGCAACCATTTTTGGAAAATTTTTTCTGAACCAAATGTTTGTTGGAATGAGACGGGTGAGGTGATTTTTTATGTTGGGGCAAAAAATGGCTGATTTTATGCAATTTTCGACTGTCGCGTGTTCGATATCAAACTATTTTTTAGTAGTTTAATAAGCGAATAATTAAATTGATAATTTATTAGTATTAATTTGTCAAAAAATTACAATAAAACTTTCGTCACTCTTAGAGCAGAAGCCCCAAAATAAAAGATTGGAGATCTGATTTGAATTGATGTTCAATTGTTCTGCTAATAATCTTTTCCCTCTATTCATTAATGTTCCTAATTTTATTTGTTATAAATGAATAAATATAAAAACAAATAATAATTTTGTGAACAGAAAAAGTTTAACCTGTAACTGCAAGAATATTCTCGGGCGGGAGAACAGACGTCAAAGACATTCGTAAGTTACAAAGATTCATGTCTGTATCTCTCACACATTGATAGACTACCAGCACTTTAACTTCATCAACTATATGCAACAAATATTTGAAATTATACTGAAAATGTGTGTTAAATTTACTAAAATATAAGTTAAAAAAGGTTTTTACCAGCCCAATTGAAAATAACGTGCCCAATCTTTTTAAGTTCTGGCTCTCTGATCAAATCTTCCATTTTGGAGATGGAAGGAAAAATGACGACTACGTGTGCACCGTCCACAGCTTCCGACAAATGTTTCTTATGAATAGTAATTTGTCGAATGAAAGGACTCGACATGTCTTCAATTTCGTGCACCAAGTGGTCCAAATATGAACTTTCTACTTCGGTATTGTCGAATAGACGCACGTAGATGATGTGGTTGTCTGGAAAGATGGTTCCGTTAGCAATCAGAGGTATGAAGTAGTAAGCCAGCTCAGACCCAGCAAAAATAATTGTCACAATTAGATTGCTATGGGAAAAATAATGAATGCCATTTACAACAGTTATCTCTATAAAATTATATGCAAATAATTAAATTAAAAACGAATGAGGAAGACCTTTTAGTTGAAATGCTTACGACTGTTTCTTTAATACGGCTGTTAAAATTTGATTCAGCCAGTTGTTTCATGTCATTACTCGACATCGTATTCTCGATGCCGTAGTACAAATATGCGTACTCTTGAAATTCGTTAAAACTGCCAAAATATAATTTAGGTCCTCCAAATTCCAAGGGCTCTCGCCAAATCAAAGGCGATCTCCGCACCTTATTCCATCTGTTGCTGATGCATATTTCATCCACGAATGTCTGTTAATCGCACAAATATATGTACACCTACATCAGATATAGACGAAATTTTTCCAATAAATGGAAAACTCACGCTATTTTATATACGTACATTCCATTCTTTAGGGCTGACAAGGACGGCTCTGTAATCAAAATCAGGCAAAACGGACTTCATTGTTTGAGCTAGGACTTCAATTTTTGCGAAGTACGGACAATCGGCCGGTCCGGCAATAACGAATTTAACCATTTTTATTAATATTCAAAAAATTTGGTCAAAATAGCTTGAAAATGTCAACAAGTTGTGACGTTTCAATCAAAACATTACTGCAGTCTGATGTCGACGTTCCTTAATTTTATTTGAGTTATATATATTATTACCTATTTTATTCTAGTTGTATTACTATGGACAACAAGACTCCAAGTATAAACAATTGAAAACGGTTGGCTCCTGACAAACTAAACGAAGTTTTATTTTATATTATATTTTCGAGGATAAAATTGTCTATTAAGATATACAATTATTTCTGAAATGTACACATAAATGGATTTTTTGCGATTTTTTTATACTTTCTAGTTACCAGTGACGTAAATTTAGAAATGTACGGGTGACGCTTAATTCAATCAAATTATAAGTGTGCTCCTAAGAAACTGGAGAGAGTTTTGTTTTATATGATATTTTAGAGGATGAAATGTTATATTAGAATGTTTAAATATTTTTGAAACGAACACGCATCTTTTACTTCAAGGGGCAGTTGTTCAACTAAAATACTAAATGCTAGGATAGGAACCAGCCATCCAAATACAAAAGACCAAATGTTTTAGGAATCAAACGTCTGTAGTGTAGACCTATGATAAAAAAAAGTAAACTCAGTCTAAAATCAAAGAAACTTACAAACAAAAATGTAATTGATGCACAAAATACTTCAACAACCAGTGAAAGCTCAGAACACGAAACAAGTTCAAATAAATTGCCACCAGAAAAGTGCTTGAGGTTGGGTCATTTTGAAAAATTTTTATAACTCGTTTTTTGTTTAATTAAAATTAAAACAAGATAAAATAAAATCCACAAAGGTCTGCAATTCCAGATGAAAATGTACTCAGCAAAGAGCAAAATGTAACAGCCACAGCGACCTCAACAGCATTTACAACGAGCAACAGACCATTCATTAAATGGCAACCACTGCCAACAACAACAGCTCTGGAAATTCGAAAGTTGCAACAAGTTTGAAAATTCATTAATAATTGATTTAAGTAAATTTAAATTATTTGAATAAATACTAATTTTCTTTTCAAAGTTGCAACAAATATCACTACGACACTACAGACAAACTTGTAGTAATTCAACTACAATTACCAAATTACTAACTGATTTAATACATTTACTGAAATTATTTATTGATTCAGATTCAGAGAAATGACAGCAAAATGTTAAGGAACGGAAATGAGAAAGACTGGCAGGCACTTCCGAGACCTTGTACGAACTGCATGCATGCAACATTCTTCGGGAGATCATTTTTAGAAATTAAAAATCATGAAAAAGAATCAAAAACGAGGCTTGAAGATGTTATAAGCCAGAAAAGTAAAGTTGAAAATTTGAAATATTCAACAAAAAATGAAACATTCGTCATCCCAAAACCAACAAATGAAGATCAATCAAATGCCAATTCATCTAGAAAGCTGACAGGCCACAAAGTAAATAAACACCAAAGTGAACCACCTCTCAATCAAATAAAAATGGATACCAACACTAACAACGCAACTTTGAAACCTCCTTCTAACATTTTGCCACCAAAAAAAGTAAAGAAAGAACAATGCCCTATATGCCTGAAAGAATTTGAGTTAAAGTTAGATTCACTTTAAAACTTTTGCAATTAAATAATAAAATAACCATTTAATCAAACAAATTTTAACAATTCATTTAAGTTTCAGTCAGATTGAAAAAGACGGCCACCTAGCTCGATGTTTATCTGGGGTCACCGATGACGTCACATGGTGATAGTGCATAGAAATGGAAAATCTCTTCTTATTTGTAATAAAATAATTGAAAAACTCAACATAATAATTATCAATCTCTGTTTATTTCATTTTTAATTATTTTTATGAAAACCATTTTTTGAAAAGTTATAAAAAATTGCACAAAAAAAGAATTAAGTAATCAAAAAATAACTTGAAGCGTTTTTATACACAAATTATTTTAATGTTTATTCATTTTCGTTGAGGATCTCGTTCTCGGGTAGTGACGAAGCGATCCTTGTGACACAGAATTTTTACATTTATAAGATTTGTCTGTAGACATAGTTTTTCTACCTTTCCTCGCTCTCTGTATGCTTCTACCGCAGTCTTCGAAATCACCTTCACTGTCTGAATCATCTTCATTACTCAACATCTGGGCTATTGCCAAATCATTTTCAACAATTGCCAACTTTTTTCTTTTTGCTGGGATTTTATCATTCAAATTCTCTCCATTCTTGCTGTTGTCGTTATCTTCTTTCACTAATTCACTATTTTCATTCAACTGTTTGTTGATAGTTGTGGCTGCCGGTGGTGTGGTTGGTGTAGTAGCTGTTGTCGGTTTGGGTCTTATCTGTCTGTACGATTTCATGGCCTCTAATCGTTTTGCTTCGTTTTCCATGCTTTGTTTCTGTGGTGCAGCAGAGAGATTATTGAACAGAATAAATGGAGCATTTTTGTTGTTCAGTGATGTTTTGTTGTTGTTGCTGCTGCTGTTGATATGTGGCGAGCTGCCTTGGTTGTTGTTTGTGGGCGACACGTTCTTCGATGGGCTTTCAAGTGTGCATTTGACATCGTCGTTATTAATGCTGCCGTTTAATTGCGATTCCACATTCAATTTGAAACCACCACTATGAACATCATCCTGATCAGTTTTTTCCTCATTGAATAAATTAACTTTTAAATTTGCTTTGCTGCCGACATTGGGCTCATCACTGACAGGTGCAATGACGTTCAGGCGAGGTTTCTCTGGCGGGTTATTTCTCACTGCCCCACCAACTTTTTTACATTTGAAAGTTTTGTTAACCTGATTTGAGGTAGTTTTGTTCAATCTAGGAATTGCAACCTTCGTGTTAACATCTTTCTCAGGCGCATTTGCAGGTGAATTCTCATTGCTCGGTCTGATTTCTACCATCCTTAATTTCTGAGAAGCATAATTGTTTGCAGGCATCGTGATATTAGCATTGGAAATTACCATTGGATTTGTAACTGTTTGAGTCTGCATTGAATAAACTATGTTAGAAATTTTGTTTTGAAGCATTGATTGCTGAACTGGCTGTGGTGCATTGTTATTGTTTACTTGAATGATCATCTGATTGCTTTTGATGTTGTTCATGTTATTTTTGTTACTATTGACCGTAATAATGTTGGGCTGTTGTTGGATGTTGCTGTGGTCCTGGATCTGTGATGTCAAGCCGTTGGGCTGGTTTATGTAGACAGTTCTTTGGTTGTTGGGTGATATTACAATGGCATTGCTGAGGGGCTGTGGTTGGATGAAGATCGGGGGATTGGAATTTGTTGCCACATTGAGACTTGATTGCTCAATGTAATTTCTCTGTGGGTTCACAATTTGATATTGTACAGCAGTATTGTTGTTCAGGTTGTTTGAGACTTGCACAAACTGTTGTTGGCCATTTTGGGATGGAATGAATTGATTTTGTACCCAGCACTGACCACTATTGTTGCTTTGAAAACTGTTTCCTTGAATGTGAATGACCTGCTGGCTGCCTGGTGACTGATAGACAACGTTCTGTTGCAAGCCTGGATTCATAAGAGGCTGTTGAATTATAATTGGTGGTTGCTGTTGTAACATCACTTGGCTCTGTTGCATCATCATCTGATTTGTGTTGTTGTTCATGTTGAAATTGCAGCTGTTAGGCTGTGAATTACGAACGATTATTGTTTGAGGACTTTGTAAACCAGAGGAATTGCTCATATTGTTTAAAATTAAGGGCTTGTTGTTTACAGGATTTGTTTGATTCATTTGCAGTGGAACGTTGACAACATTTTGTGGTGGTTGATTAGAAGCTCTTGGGAGGATTGCAAAATTTTGAACTAAACTCGGGTTTGGTGCAATTGAAAGCAGAGGTGTGGTGTTACACGACATGTTACTCTGATTTGAAGTTTTTGAAGCACTTTGAGAAGCTTTTGTCCTGGATCTTGAAGACTTTGCTCTGCTGGTTGTAGCATTAGGAATGTTTGTAACATCTGAGACTGCACCAGCTGGAGCTGGAAACATAATTTTCTTGATGACTCCATTCTCATTAATTTCTACCAAGCTAACTGTTGTAATTTTTTCATACTTTCTTCCTTTAGCTTTCTCTAGACTCATGGTCAGGTTGTTGTGACATTCATCTTTACTCTGTTCACTCCTGAAAAATTAAATTTGGATTATTTCATGCACGTGAACGGAAAAAAAGCAATAACAATAATGAACTAGAAAAATAATGACCTAATTACTTCAAAAATTAATCAAGTTATGATGATGAATGATTTTATAATGGATAAAAATATTGAGATATACATAAATTTGGCAGCTCAATTGGTAAGATTATTGAGTAAATGAATTAATTGGCAATCTTTCTTAAATAAATTATTGAAAAAAAAAATAAAACTTACTTGACAACGACCAGGGCATCAATTAATTGCTTGCTCGTTATCAAGGACATACCTGCTTCAACTTTAAAGAAAAATCATTCAATAAATTTTCGACATTTTAAATAAAGTATGATTAAATTTCGTCAAAATTCACGTTTTAAAGATGAAAATGTAAACAAATAATTCTATTGGACGTCCATTCGCCCATTACAAACAAAAAAAATTACAATCCTGGCCGTCATAGGATCTCCAATTACGGTAAAATATCCAAAAATAACATTTTAATGAAATATAACATCAAAACTAACCAAAAATTCAACTTTGGAACGGAAAATTATCAATTTTAATCAAAAATTTAGACATTTAACGATCTCATTGGTTTGCTGTTGCAAGATCATGTGTAAAATTTAACAGCCACGACCTATTTTTGTAGTGGCCCAGAATCTGGTGCGATGTTCCTATTGGTCGAAATAAACTAGGACGGCCATCTGATTGGTCAGTAATTTGAGATTAGAAAATTCGATGACCAATCAGTGTTGAGAAATGGTAAAATTTTAGATAATGTAACTAACTGCCCCAAGAATGTTGTAAAATATTAATGGCGATTCAAAAATTATTTATTTTATGGATAAATTTAACAAAATATCAAAGTTAAATTTTTAACGTTAACTTATCAAGATTTTACACGAAATTATGCTCTGTTTTTCTGCATTATGCTTATTTTCAACGATATTTGGTAAAAAAATCAAATTTAAAGTCAATTTTCATATGAAAATAAGATAATATTCATTAAAAATGATAGAAACATCAGTAAAAAGTGGTTTTAAGATAGATTAATGGGTATTTATCACTGCAACGTTACTAATTTCTGTAGAATATTGCAATCTTACTTATGAAACTTATTTTCAAATGAACTGTAGTTATTATGTATAACAAATTTAACAATATAATTTGTTTTAAAAGTAATTTTATGTGAATTTTTTTTATCTGTTTTTATTAATTTAACCCAACTTTCTACGGTGAAATAATTTAGAAAATACAACGAAGCCAACAACGAGATGAATAACTGGAAAGATTTTATTTTCACAAACATTTATTGGAATACTGATACTAAAATTAAAATACAAATAAAAAATTTAAGAGTAGAGAGATGACATGCGTAGAATCGACACGAATAAAAATAATGCGTCTACCATACCTGGTATATATTCATAATACTCTACAATCTAATTATACACACATACATACTAACACACATGCATACACACATGCATACATACGCATAAATACACATACAGATACAGAAATACATGCATACACCTGCTTTTGCCCACTTTCGTGTTTCCCATTAAATTTAAATTTATCATGAAAGGGATGATTATAGACGGTAGAATTAGATACATTTGCACTTTATAAGAAAAACAACAACAACGATAATAACAATAAAACAAATCAATTTTTTAGAGCAATCAAAACCGCCAACAAAAAATGCATTAATATGGATAACAAGCATTTGAACTAGCATAAATATACATTAGCCTCATCGGATGAAAAACATATGAAAAACATTGTTTACATTTGTATGTATGCATGCATGGATGTATGTATGTACGTACGTATGTATATGTGTAGGTATGCGTGTATGTGTGTATGTATGTGTGTATATGTATGTACGTACGTACGTATATATGTATGTATGTTAAAACCAAAACATGATGAGTGACACTGAACCGTCAAACATCAAGTAACAAGTGTATTAACACTTTGATTTGTCGTTAATTGCACATGTCGGCATTCAGTTGGATATTTTCAAGCACACAGACACGCAGGAACCGCTGCAACAAGCACGAAATGTGGTTAGTTGCGAAAAATAGTTCCCTGCTGTCGCCTGATCTGACGCTGATCATTTTACATATTGCCTTAAGAAATTTAAGGGTGTTGGGGTCCATCGGGCCGCGAACCTCGATACATATTGGCAAGAATTCCATCGAGGGGAGGGCGTTCCTATATTTTTTCATTTTTTCGTCCGCTGCCCTGGCCGCGGCCAAACCGCATTCTTTACTTGTCAGGTTTACATATCGTTCGGCAAGTGTGCCAGGGACCGTAACATCCCACGCCAAACATCTACCGGCTCTCCAAGGTATGTATGTATGTACGTATGTATGTATGTATGTATGTATGTACGTATGTATGTATGTATGTATGTATATATGTATGTATGTATGTATGTATGTATGTATGTATGTATGTATGTATGTATGTATGTATGTATGTATGTATGCATGTATGTATGTATGTATTTATGTATGTATTTATGTATGTATGTATGTGTATAGCGTGCAAGTGCGCAAACGTACGCATCAGAGAATGTACGCATTTGAGACGAAATTGTGACACTGCAAAGACATATACTTACAGTGACTTTGTCATAGTTAGCATACATACAAACAAACAAACATACAGACGTACATACATATATACATACATACATACATACATACAAACATATACAAACATACATAAAATTTTAGTGCACTTGGATGATTTTAAATTACATTTAATACTATGCTTAACACATACTCATATGCGTATTTCTGTATTGTATATATGTATGTATGAATATATGTATGTTTGTTTGTATATATATGTATATATATATATATATGCGTGGATGAATATGTTTATATTTTATGTGTGTATAATTGCATTACATATATAACCATATGGAAAATGTATACAATACACTTAAGAATGGCAATAATAACTAAGACGCTTGCTTAAAATAGTTTGCATTTGTGAAGAATATTATTAGATATTAATAATTTTTATTAGTAAATTGTATGAATTTAAATTTGTCTGTATTTTGATTTTAGTATACAATTTAAAAAAGTATGTATGTATGATTTAAAAAAGTATGTATGTATGAGTGCATGCGAGTGTATGTGTGTGTTTGCATGTATGTATGTTTGTGTGTGCGTGCGTATACATCTTTGTAGACAAATTATTTTTTTCTTCTGACTGAAGTGCTTCCAACGAAAAGCTGGCTGGTACATTTTAAATTAAATAATGAAATAGTTCTTTATAACCCAATGTTTGTCTTTTTGATTAATTATACTAACTAAAACAGCAATTATTATTTTTGTAATTAATTAAAATATAAGTAACTGATTGTTAATAGTTTAATATCAAACAATTGTAATGATACATTCCTCATAACATTACGACGAACTTGTTTACATTTGTCAGAATTTCGTCTGAAAATAGGAAAGGAATTTCCATTTGACGACCATTCTGGCACTTCTAATGCAAAGGCAGCACTACTGGAACATCTTGACGGACAGCCATGTAGCACCGACAGGACTCCCGTTTGAATACAGAAAACCTGCCGACAACTACAGCTAGGATGAACGCTGGAGCGAAACCAGAGAGACAGCACAGAGGTGCATTCCAGACCGACGATCCCTGCCAAACCCCGACATTTACCTTCACCTTCGCCTCTCCGAGTTCATCTCCGCTTAAACGGGCCGTTTCGGAACCAGCTCAAAATGAAAGCGATGCTCCTCTTTTAGCAAAGAACAACAAACAGATCGGTAACGAGACGATTATGTGTTCGTATTTGTCGGATAACTTTGGTCAGCCTCTACTGTCGGATATATTTGGACCGAGTCAACCGCTTTTATCAGCTAGTCGTTATTTGGAACATTATAACAATCGATCGTCAGCGGAAGATGTTCTGTTGAAAAAAGTTCAATGCCATTCCTCTTTTGAAAGCACGCATTCGTACAATTCAAACAACAGTGAAAGCAGAAACATTCGGTATTCTCACGATCAGGCACCTCACAAACATCAGACAGCCACAAAGAGCACAAAACCGACAAAAATTAGCACATCCTTTCCACTCCAAACGAGTGGAGGCCAGCATTCCAGGAGCACATCATCACAACTCAATGTTTACCCCAAACCATCCAGGTACAAGTGTCCTTTCGAAAGCACGTTCAGAAAAACGTTCAGAAGTAATAAGCAATACAACAACAGCAGCAGCAACAACAACAACAACACTACGGACGTAAACATCAGCAGCAACAACGCCAACAGTTACAAAACCGTCGCCCACAAACGCAGCGTGAGAGTGGAATACAGTCGGACGAGCAAGTCTCTCACGAGCTCACTGAGCAACGTCAAATCGGTCCTGGTTCCCGTCCTTAACAGCATTGAAAGGCTGGCGTCCTGCTCCAAGCAGAAACCCACCAGACGTCAGCCACGCAAGACGGACACGTTCGTGAAAACCAAACAGACAAATTATTCTGTTGAAACTTTGGTGTCTGAAACGGCCATCAACGATGTTTGCTGGAAGGAAGAAGCAGACCAGCAGCAGCAGCAGCAGCAGAGCAGTTCCCAAACGACGCGAAGTAACACAGTCGCGTCATCCGCCGACAGAACTACATCTAAAAGTAACTCTCCACAGGGCAGCGAAGATCGCGACAATTTTGACTTCTCACAAACCACCGCCGCATATTTAACGACAACATTCATCACCGATGCAACAAAAAAACAACCTCTGAAGTCTGCCAAAACAGTGGACACAACAGAGACAAAGGAATCGAATGCTAAATCTCGCAGAAGAGGTTACTTTCTGACCAAACAGGTCAAAGGTCATTGTTTCACGTCGCTGGTTTCCTCGCCGACAATAGAACACAAGCAGCCAATCCATCTCCACCCTGCCGACGACAACGCCGAAGACGAAGAGGACTACGATGAGGAAGCCCACTCACCGATGTTAACATCGAAGCGTGCATCACTCTGGGCAGAATCTGTCCTGCCATACAACGCCAATCGAAACATCTTCAACACGCACGGCGCCACGACAGCCGCCACAGCCACCACAGCCGCAACGAACGCCAGCAGCAGCACTGACAACGAAATGATCGACGGCATGTTTCCTCCAATAGCCAGCTGGACCTGTTCAACGACCACAACAATCGACGATCATAATCAGGATCAACAAATCGCCTCCCCACCAGCGTCTCATAACATTCCCACCACCACCACCAGCAGCAACCAAACCTACCCACTAAACATCATGCCAGTTTCACCGGCACCCACCTACACAGCCACATCAACATCCACTTCTTCTCATTGCTTTCCGTTCGGTTTTCTAAACGCAAACCGTTCTTTACGGCTGGAAAATCCAATTTGCATCGAAGCACTTGATCAATCGAATATTCGAAAATCAACCGGTTGTTTCGGGTCGGTCGGTTTGCACCAGCGATTATTTTCAGGCGTTCGAATTGGCGACAAACGATCGCACAGCGGTAGGAAAAAGCATTCATCGACCGGTTCTACTACTCGAACGAAAACCGAAAACATCGAAGCTCTACATTTCTCTTCCTTATCTCACAGCAAATTATTTCAAAACGCGGTGAACATCATGAAGTCGGTTAACGAAACGATGCGACCAAGCGGACCAATCGCACCGACAAATACCGACAAACCGTCCACATCCGGTACTTCGAGACCGATGTTTCGGTTTCGATTCAGCAGCGGGGGTTATATAGGTTCCAAAAGGTCTCGACACGGAGTGCCGTTGAGTGAGAGTTCGAAAGTGGCGCAGGAGGGTGACACAGTCAGAAGTTCGTCAATCGACACGAAGCCTGGCAGCAGTGATGTCGTGTTCGAGAAGAAGAGACCAGGTTAGTCCAGCCCTCCAACATTGCATTCATAATTAACTGCACTCTCTTCTTTATCATCATCATCATCATTCTCATCCTATCTTCTTGGTAATGAATGTATAAAGTAGTAATAGTATTAGTAGTAGTAGTTGTTGTTGTTGTTGTTGTAGTTGTAGTAGTAGTAGTAGTAGTAGCAGCAGCAGCAGCAGCAGCAGCAGTAGTAATAGTAGTAGTAGAAGTAGCAGTAGGAATATAATTAAACAAGTTCTACGTGTGATTCATCACCGACTGACTATGCTTCGACAAAATCAATACAAGAATATACAATAGAAAAACACACACACAGACACATATAAAAATATACAATAAATACATACCTACATGCAAAAATTTACACAAAATACATACATACGCAAATGCACACAAATACATACATACAAAAATGTACACAAAATGCATACATACAATACAAAATGAAGGGCAAAATATGATAGTACCAATATATACACACACAGTCACACATGTTACAAAATTAACAAATATTATATATTGTAAGAACGAATGCTAACATGCAAACATATCAAAGATGTGCTGAGCGTAGAATATACACCGAATGTCCTATTCCTAACTAGAACCTGCAGGAAAAAGAAGTTAGAGTTTAAAAAAATGTAAATGAGATGAAGATAGATCAAAGGAAAATGACGACCGGTTAAAAATTTGATTAAATACATTACTTTTTCTATTACGACCACTACTAGGGCTACTACTAATGCCAAGAATAATACTACAAATACTATTTTAATTATCCTAATTATTACGAACCAACCAGCCAACCAACCGACCGACCAACTGACAAACAAATCAACCAACCAACCATCCAACCAACCAACCAACCATCTAACCAACCAACCATCCAACCAACCAACCAACCAACCAACCAGCCAACCAACCAACCATCCAACCAACCAACCAACCATCCAACCAACCAATCAGGTCCTCAGTACTTCAGCGTGGACTGCATAGACGCGGTAGAAATCTCCTCAAGTGGCCGCTTCATTTCAAGATTTTACGGTGTCGCTGACGACAGCAGCCACATCAGCCGACACCACTCGCACGAGAAAAAACTACGCAGAACATCTACTAGTGTGGCTAGGCGCGCCGAAAAACGTCACTCCAGCGTTTTAGATGCTACTACAACAGCTACAACCACAACTTCCACATCTTCAAAAATGATTGGTACGAATACCGCAACATCAAAATTAATGGGTATCAACACGTCTATCGATGAAGTTAACGAGATATACCCAAATTCTGAAGAGGATGATGACGTTGTTGTTCATGATGACGTAAGAAGAAACGTTTGTGGTAGTTATGATGGTTTTGTTGCAGCTACGACTACTGCTGCTGCTGCTACTGCAACTACTGCTACTGTTAATGATTCAAATTATCATTATCCGCAGATTCATGTTGATGCTGATTTGAATGCAAATGGCTTTCAGGTTGAGGGTGAAGACGACGACGATGGCTGTTTTGTTGCTGGCGCTGGTAAAGTTGGCACTGTTCATGTTAATTATAATTACAACAACAACATCAACAACATCAACAAGGTCAATGCCAGCAACGTCAGGTCAAATCAAAACAACCAAAATTTCAACTTTTCATATATTTCCCAAGCCAACTACAACACCTTCTCAAACGAGAACACTATAAACTTCGCAGCAAACATCAACAACAACTTCACCAGTCACCGATACAGTTCGTCAAACAGCAGAAGCAGTAAAAGCAGTCGCGGCAGTAGCCACACAATCGCATCGTCAACCAACAGCATTTACGAAGACATCCGTCCAATGAAGCGCCAGCATCATGAGACACGCGCCAGCAGCAGTGCTAAACAATACACGGTATCCGCTACTAAACATCCACAAACAAAGGCCTCATCTGCTCCAAACAACCGCAACTGCAGCAGCAGCAACAACAACAACAACAATAACTTTTACTACAACAGCTACAACAACAACTACTACATCAACAACAACACGTTCAGAGAGCAGATTTGGTCATTTTTGAAACCAACCGACAACAAATTAGCGATGAAATTATTCGGGAATAAAAAACTCGTCCGCAAGGAGAGAGCCAGGAAACAGCAATCGCAACACAGAGACTGGATCATCCACCCAAGATCAACTTTGAGGTGAAATTAGTCTTGAAACATCTTCCATTGTTTGTGGTGTCTGTTCTTTTTGTTGCTGCTGCTGTGGCTACTATGATGAATTATTTGAATGGTTGATTGATTGTGTGACTAGAAAACCAAAACACATGAACCGACAAATAAACGAAAAAGCAAAATTTTAACGAAAATAAACATGCACACACACTCAAGAATGTATTGATTACATTAGCTAGCTAGGGAAAGAAATTAAATTCATCTGATATTTGTTCATTGTACATCAATATTAGCGCTCGGACAAACTGATATAGCCTGATGAATGATGAATTGTTTGTTTATGCAGACATACACACACACACACACACACACACACACACACACACACACACACACACACACACACACACACTCACACACACATACACGCACAAACACACACATAGACGCACAAACACACACGCACAAACACACACACATACACCAAAAGCCTGCAAAAACTATGTGAAGAAATTTGTAAGAGTGGAAAGTGGGGAGTTGAAAAATGTTTAGAATTTATGGCATAACACGCTAAAAACTATGCACATTTTTATTTACAATCGTGACAAAACGTTAAAACACTGCTAATGAGCTGCGATAAATTGAGTGAGGAAGTGAATGAGTGAGTGAGTGAGTGAGTGAGTGAGTGAGTGAGTGAGTGAGTGAGTGAGTGAGTGAGTGAGTGAGTGAGTGAGTGAGTGAATGGAACGTCTTGAAATCAGGCTCTGCATAAAATATCGTTCTCGAGATGATGATGGTTTTTATCAACATTCTCATTTCTTCTTTTTCTTCTTCAACTTCTGAAAAATACGCCTGTACACACACGTACACACACGTACATGCATGCATACATACATGCATGTAGGCTCACACACATATATATACATACACGCATACATACATGCATGCACGCACTGTACATACATACATATTACATGCATGTATACATATTCTTATGTACGTACATCTGAAATCGATATGCGACCAAATATATGAATAAGCTAACAATCTTCTTCTTCTTTCATGAATAAATGAATGATTGGATGAATAAATGATCGAATGAAGGAAGGGATGAATGAATGAACAAAAGAACAAACATGGAAGAACACGAACGAACACAAAGAGAAAACAAGACAAACGGATGAGCAGATAGTGAATGGATTCGAAAGCCAGCACTTAATTTTGGATGCGGCATTTCTCAGGAGGAAAAAATGAATGAGAGAAAGAAAAAGAAGAGAGAGAGAGAAAGAGAGAGAGAGAGAGAAGAAGAAGAGAGATTAAAGAGAGGAAGCAAAAGATGGATGGAAGGATGAAAATAAAATGAATTCAATGACTACTACTACTATTACTTACTAGTACACCCTCCCGTAGAAAATTTATTTTTGCTATGTATACATCCGTTTGTGTGCCCGTGTTTGGCTTGTTTGTTTGTTCGTTCGTTCGTTCGTTTGTTTGTTTGTTTGTTTGTTTGTATGTTTGTTTGTTTGTTTGTTTGTTTGTATGTTTGTTGGTATGTTTGTTTGATTGTTTGTATGTTTGTGTGTTTATTATAAAAAAAAATTTGCCTGTTTCGTTATTTTTTAGAGTGCTTTTTTAACGTCATATAGAGACAACGTTTGGAGGGTTATGACTGTTAAAAGACCAACAACATCTCAAACAACAACATCAACATCTCAAACAACAACATCAACATCTCAAACAACAACATCAACATCTCAAACAACAACATCAACATCTCAAACAACAACATCGACATCTTAAGCAACAATATTAACATCTTAAACAACAACACTCTCTTAAAAAACAACAATAACATTAAGAAAACTTTTAACAACAAAAACAACAACATTTTAAACAGCGCTCAACAACATCAACAAAACATAACATCAACAACTGAATAGCGCCAATGAAATCGATAACAATGTAAACATCTTGACCAGCTAAACATACACACGCACACACATACACACACACACGCACGCACACACATACACACATACTCAGAGCAATAGTTTACGCTCTTCACATCGGGGACGACAAAGACCAACAACTTTCTTTCTTTCTTCTCTCTCTCTCTCTCTTTCTCTCTCTTTCTCTCTCTCCCTTTCTCACTCCTCTTTTCCAACATTTCCGGGAACCAAATTTTGTCTTGAATTGCATTTTCCAAAACCTGGTGGCAATGACGTTTACAATGATGATGATGTTGATGATGATGTTGATGATGATGATGTTGTTCATGATGTTGATGATGATGTTGATGATGATGATGTTGATGATGATGTTGATGATGATGATGTTGATGATGATGATGTTGATGATGATGTTGATGATGATGATGTTGATGATGATGTTCATGATGATGATGTTGTTCATGATGTTGATGATGATGTTGATGAAAATGATGAGATAATGATTGCGATGAACTATTTTTAGGTAATAAAACTTTTCGTTCCATATTGTGACACCATTAAATTTAATTAATTCCACCGTGTTAATCAATCCACACGCACACAAATACACACACACACATACATACGTACACACACACACACACACACACACACACATACATACGTACACATACATACCCATACAGGTACATGACATTTGATTATTTATTATTAAATTTATTCTCCGCGCTCTATTGTACTAATGTTTGCCACTATCTGAAAGAAAATACACGTGTGCGTGTGTGTGTGCAGGTGTGTGTGTATGTATGTGAATGTGTGTGTGCGTGTTGCTGTGTATTTCCGTATTATTAACGTCATCTCAAATCAATAAAATGTTGACCGTCATTATCTTGTTTTCATTATATACGCAAACACACACAAACACACACAGACACACACACATACACACACACAAACACACACACATACAAACAAACATAGAGACTAACAAACACACAAACACAGAGACTAACAAACACAGAAACTAACAAACACACTGCACAGGTTATACTGGGACCTCTTGATGTTCAGCCTGCTGATCGTCAACATCATCCTCCTCCCACTCGCCATCTCCTTTTTCACGGAGAACATCTTGCTGGGTGCTCGCTGGGTCTTCATGAACTGCTTCTGTGACGTCATCTTTCTCACCGACGTTCTACTCAACTTTAGGACAGGTACGCTATCACGTGATTCACACACACAAACACACGCACACACACATACACACACATACATACATACACACACACATATACACAGACAGACAGACAATAAATTGTATATTACATTCACCGTTATACACTCCGTGTAGGTATAATCTTAGATAGCTACTCTAACACGGTGATACTATCTCCAGAGAAGATAGCCCAGCATTACGTTAGGACCTGGTTCCTGCTTGACCTCATTTCGTCACTTCCGTTTGACGTCATCATCGTCTTCTTCACACCTAACAATGCTAGCTCTCCACATATCGCTTATGCAGGTGGTCCTTGTATTTGTGCATGTATCCATCTTTCTCTCTTCTTTTTTCTTTCTTTTCATCTTTATCTCTCTCCATCTCGCGGTTGATTCATTAAGGTCAACCGCAATGTAATCATTTTATAAAGAATTATTGAATTAATTAATGTTCTTTTTTTTCTTATTCTTCCTCCTCCTCTTCTTCTTCTCCCTCTTCTTTTTTTCTTCTTCTTCTTTTTATTATTATTAGTGTTATTATTACCGCCATCATTATCAGGAAGAGCTTTGAGAATTTTTCGTCTTGTGAAGCTTGTGAGTTTGCTGCGTCTGTTGAGGTTGTCGCGTGTTGGAAGATACTTCATCCAGCTGAGAGTGGTTGGTTTGTCTGTCTGTCTGTTTGTCTGTCTATCTGTCTGCCTGTTTGTTTGTCTGTCTATCTGTCTGTTTGTTTGTATGTGTGTGTGTCCCTGTGTATATGTATATGTGTGTGCGTGTCCGTGTGCGCGCGCGTGTGTCTGTGTTTTTTTGTACATGTTTGTATGGATGCGTGTGTGTTGATGCATTGTTATATCGCTATCGTCACCACCACTACCATCATCGTCGTCGTCTTCCTCATCTTTGTCATCATCGTTATCATCATCATCATCGATACCATAGACAAGACAGATTTATTTTTAAATTCACATTTTTGTATCACGCAGGATTTTGGGCAGGTGAGTTTGTTTAATTATAAAATATCGCCCAACTTCTTCAGTCATTTTTGTTTCTTTGTTTATTATAACTATTATTATTATTCATTGTTGTCATTTCATTTACCGATCTTTTGTCTTCCAGGACAATTATTTGCATGCTGTAATTTTTTTACTATCATCATAATTTACGTTGCAATAATTATTTTTTTTATGACCACAGCTACTACTACTACTACTACTACTACTACCACTACCACTACTATTACTACCACTACTACTACTACTACTACTACTACCACTACTATTACTACTATTACTACCACTACTACTACTACTACTACTACTACTACTACTACTACTACTACTACTACCACTACTATTACTACTATTACTACCACTACTACTACTACTACTACTACCACTACTACTACTACTACCACTACTACTACTACTACTTCTACTACTACTACTTCTACTACTACTACTACTACTACGGCGACGAAAACTTTAGCAGATGCGCGCGAACATTGTAGCGTGTACAGTACACAGACACACCAGCTTGCTTGTGTGTACACACTTTTGTACTCTTCATCCGTTTCTTGTAGCATCTACTATTTGCACGGCACGTACGCATGAGTGCATGCGCACTTAGTGTTACTCACACGAACTAGTACATTTAGTGCATGTGTACTTAATGTTATTTTTGTATGTTAGTGAATTATAAGCCTGGGCTTATATGTGTGTTTGTATGTGCGCGGGTGCTTGTATGTGTGTGTGTTTGCATCATGCGTGTAGGTGTGTTTGGATGTGTGTGTGTGTGTGTGTGTCTGGATGTGTGTGTGTGTGTGTGTGTGTGTGTGTGTGTGTTAGAGTTTGAAGTTTAGAAGCTTTTAAAAACAGAATAAAAAGCTCATAAAAGGAATGTTAAAATATCGTAAAAAGTTTCCAACAAGCATTTTAACACACCCACTTCTACATAGCAGAAAACACGCCAAAACACACCAATATACACACAAACATCAGACTCCAAAACACACACACACACCAACATCAGACTCCAAAACACACCAATATACACACCAACATCAGACTCCAAAACACACACACACACCAACATCAGACTCCAAAACACACCAATATACACACCAACATCACACGCCAAAACACACACACACACCAACACACATACAAACAGTTTATTCAAATGGCTGGTCGCTTCATGCACGTATTAAGTCTGGTCTTCATAATTCTGCTGTTGGGGCATTGGAATGGGTGCCTGCAGTGGTTCGTCCCTATGCTTCAACATTATCCTGGAGACAGCTGGACGGCCCTTGAAAATTTAAAAGTACGTTGGCTGGCTGGTCGGTGGTTGATTGGCTGTTTAGTCGGTTAGTTTGATGGTTGGTTGGTTGGTTGTTTGGTTAGTTGATTGGCTGGAGGTTGGTTGGTTGAATTTCAAATTGTTTAACCGTACGGTTGTATAAAGGAACAGCTTTGGTAAAAGTATCATTATTATTATTTATCCATATTACTATGTATTATAAATTGTCTTTTAATAATTACAACTCTCAAATATTTTGTTGTCGTAATTATTATTCCTGGTTGGTTGGTCAGTCGCAAGAAATATGATTTATTTTATGACGCTGCTTTTTGGCGGCCGCTGTCCATGGAACAATCAAATATTGAAAATCAATAAGAACCTTCCTTCTTTCTCTCTCTCTTTTTCTGTCTCTTTCTCTCTTTCTTTCTTTCTTTGTTTTCTTCTCCATCTTTTGTTCATTCGTTTTTTCTATTTCGTTGTGTCTCTTTCTCACTGAACCTTTCTGTCTACCTGTTTCTCGTCTGTCTGTCTGTCCGTCCGTCTGTCCGTCCGTCTGCTTTTCTGTCTGTCTGTCTTTTTTCTAATTCATATTTCTTTTTCCCTCTCACCGCAATTTTTTCTTTGCTACTTTTAGAATTTTTACGCAAGTCAGAATCAGTTCTTGCTGCATCACGAATGATTTCACTCAATTAGAGGCGCAATTATAAAAATACATTTGTACAATTTGTCGAATGGGTATCTGCGTCTGTGTGTGTGTATGTTTGTGTATGTGTGTGTATGTGTGTATGTGTGTATGTTTGTGTATGTGTGTAGTTTTTTGTATATAAGTTTGTTTAATGTTGATGCATTGTTGAGTTTTTTACGGCAAGCAATGGCCAATAAATCATCCGACCAATCACATTTGTATAAAAGACTATGCAACCAATCACATTTGTATAAAAGACTGTCCGACCAATCACATCCTTACATTCAACCAACCAGCCAATCAATGATAAAACCACGTTTAAGCAGGACAGTGATTGGACGGAACAGTACACGTGGGCAGTTTTCAAGGCCCTCTCACACATGCTCAGTATTGGATTTGGCAGATACCCACCCCAGAGTACCACGGACGTCTGGCTTACCATTGTATGTATGTGTGGCTGTCTGACGTGTGGTGTGGCTGTCTGTCGCGAGGTGTGGCGTGTGTGGTTGTCGTGTGGTGTGGAGTTGTCGCTTGGTGTGATCGTGCGGTGTTGTTTTCCCGACGCGTTTGCATTAATTTTTGACAAATTTAACTTATTCAACAACAACGACACTAACATTAATGAAATTTTATTTCTAAAATTTTATCATCATCACCACCACCATCATCGTCATCATCATCATCACCATCATCATCGTCATCATCATCATCACCATCATCATCGTCGTCATCATCATCTTCATCATCATCATCTTCATCACCATCATCATTATCATCATCATCATCACACCTGAAAACGATGACGTCATCCACCACCCTCCCCCAGATAAGCATGCTGACCGGAGCAACGTGTTACGCTCTGTTCGTCGGCCAGTCCACAACCATCATTCAGTCCTTTGGCATCTCGAAACGATTGTACCAGGAAAAAGTTTGAATGAATGAATGAATGAATGAATGAATGAATGAGTGACTGAGTGAGTGAATGAATGAATGAATGAATGAATGAATGAATGAATGAATGAATGAATGAATGAATGAATGAATGAATGAATGAATGAATGAATGAATGAATGAATGAATGAATGAATGAATGAATGAATGAATGAGGGAATGAACTAACTCACTCAGTTTCAGCAAGTGGATGAATACATGTCGTATAGAAAGCTGCCACGGCCTCTGAGGCGAAGCATCACGAAGTATTATGAGCACAGGTACAGAGGCAAGATGTTCGACGAGGCGAGCATCCTGGCCGAAGTCAATGAGTGTCTTCACGAGGTTCTGATGATGGTGATGGTGGTGATGATGGTGACGATGATGGTGATGATGATGATGGTGGTGATGATGGTGTAGATTGAAACGCGGGTGATGATGGTGGTGTCAATTGTGATGTTGATGATGTGTGTACATTTTACAACTAATCAATCAAATCATTTTTTCAAACAGACTCATTTATTCGTTTTTCTAATTGCTCACTCACTCACTCACTCACTCACTTACTCACTCACTCACTCACTCACTCACTCACTCACTCACTCACTCACTCACTCATTCATCACTCACTCACTCACTCACTCACTCATTCATTCCAGGAGATAGTAAACTTCAACTGTCGAAGCCTCATCTCGTCTGTCTCATTCTTTGAGAAAGCCGATCAAAACTTCGTATCTGACCTGCTGGCGAAGCTGCAGGGAGAGGTTTACCTGCCCGGAAATCTGATAGTTAGAGAGGGCACGCTGGGCAATAAGATGTTCTTCCTACAAGAGGGAACTGTCTCCATTCTCACTAAGACAGGCAAATGCGTTGCGAAGTTATCAGACGGGTCTTACTTCGGCGGTTCGTGCTCTTCTGCGTTCTTTTTTGCATGTTGTTCTTCTTGGCTTCGGCTGAATTGTTTGACATTTTCCGATATTTTATTGTTTATTCTTGAATGTTGAATGATTTCATCCTTATCATCTTAGCTCCAGTCAAAAATCAATTCATCACCAACAACCACCCAACATCGACCAACCAATCAGAAGTCTGCCTCCTTGCGAATACGAAGCGTGTGGCCAGCGTGAAGGCAGACACGTATTGCAACGTGTTCACACTGGCAGTTGAGCATTTTGTCTCAGTTCTAGACAACTACCCACACATGCGACAGTTCATGGAGGCCGTCGCTAAACAACGCGTAGACGATTGTGGTCTCAACAACATCAACACGAGCAACAATCAAACCGATGATAAGAATGCTGATAAGAAGGAAGATGATAGAGATGATGATGAGGATGATGAGGAGGGACATGATGATAATGATGGAGGTGGATGTTTCAGTATTATTGTAACTAGAGAGAATGATGATGATAATGATGTCGTAGATGGTGGTGGTAATGATGATGATGGTGGTGGTGGTGTCCATGGTGGCGGCAAAGTGGGAGCCGTCGAGAGCAAGTTTGTTTTTGATGTGAATGTGGCCAGGCTGAAAAGTCAGCAGAAACGTCGGTCGTCGATCGCTTGTGTGGCAGACAGTCGCAACAACATCGTCATCAACATCGAAGATGACAGCCGCAACAACAACAAAAACAACAACAACAACAGCAACAACAACAATTCCTACACTAACACAAACAACAACACCCCAGCAACTTCGCAACAAAAACTTTACTTAACTAAACAAGAAAGATGCCAGACGTTTAGCAGCAGGAAGACGAAAAGTTTCAACAGCAAATCGTCAGCAGCAGCAGCAGTAGCTGCAACAGTAACATCATTCGGCAACAACAACAACGGCAACAGCATATGCAACAACTTCAGTTTCTGTGGAGACATAGTGGCGGTCAAGCAACTGAAAGCTACGCCGAAAAAAAAATGGAAAGCCAAAAAGAAAAGTAAAAAAAAGAAGAAGAAGAAGAATATCTCTTTCTCGAAAATTCTCGGCGTCATTGATGACGACGATGATGATGATGATGGTGATAAGAAACGCGCAGTTGATGGAGACGATGATTGTGATGGTGATAGCGATGATGAAGACGACGACGATGATGGCATTGTGTTTAACGTCAAGCAATGTGAACTCATAATTACAAAAATGGATGTAGTCGGCGAGAGTTAGTTTGAGAGGAGTGTTGTACCAATGTTTGACGAGTTTAAATGTGCGAATGTTTCTCCGCTCTACTTGCCTGTGGGAGTGTTTTCAATTTTCCCAATCATTCTATCCTTTAGGTTATTTGTTTCTCTCTCTCTCTCTCTCTTTTTCTCTTTCTCTCTCTCTCTCTCTCTCTTACTCTATCTTTCTCTTCTTATTTTTGTTGGTATATGAGTTAATCAAGATAGAGCATCAACATTAATTAAAGTTTATGTGTTCGGTTGTGTGTGTGTACGTTTGTATATATGTATGTTTGAATATATATGGAGTGTGTGTGTGTGGTGTGTGTGTGCGTGCGTGTGTGTGTGTGTGACATGTATGCGAGTAGATATATATTTATATAAACAAATGAGGATAATCAGTAACTAACTTTCACTATGGTATTCATATCTTTTATACACATATATAAATCTACATACATATACATACACTCACGCACACACGTACGTACACACACACACACACACACACACGGACACGTCAGAATGTTATCAAAAATTGTAAGAAGATAACATAAATTATGATAATTTTTAGAATTGTAGGTAGATTGCTATGATATTTAATGAGATAACTTTACTTGTTAGATTTAATAATTGTAATATAATAATGATAATAATAATAAAAATAATAATAATTATTATAATAATAATTATTATTATAATTTATTTAGTAGATTAAATACAATGACATAGCTGTTTAAATGTTCCTAAATTCATGCATGCATGTTTTTGCATTCGTTCGTTCGTTTGTTTGTTCTTATGTTTGCCTATTCATTCATTAATGCACTCGTTCATTTATTTATTCATTCATTCATTCAATTTTTTTACAGAACTGAGTTTTTCACTAATAACTTTGTGATACTTTTTTTTGGTTAACTTTTTTATGGTGAGTTTTTTTTATAAAAAAAAATATATACAAAGAAAAAAAAGAAAATTATTGGTTTGTTGTTTTGTTGTTGTTTAAGAATTTTGTTGTTTTGCATTGAATGTTTGTTTTTTTTCATGTTTGTCGGAGTCAATCTTGTCAGAGACAACCTTGAAGTTAACTTATTTGGAAGCGATTTTTTTTATAAACTGTTTTTTTTATGGAGATCTTTTTGTATTGATAGTTTTTTCTTTTTCTTTTTTGTTTTTTATCAACTTTGATTTGAAAACAAAATACAAAACGCGAAAAAAATCTTCATTGTATATTTCCCATTCGTTGATGAATTGAATTGGCACAATGTATTTGATGTGATACATACAGACGAGCGTGTATAACTTTTTTGCATACACTCGTTCGATGTGTATAATATACAAAACAATTTCTTCATTACTTTTTTTTGTATTTTTTTTTGTTTCAATTTTTGGCTGCGTCCTTATCTAACGAACCCTTTTTGTTCATTTGCAATGTCTCTAAGTGCTCTCAGTGTTGTTTATCTGCTTGTCGCCGCATTCATTCGTTCGTACGTTCGTTCGTTCGTTCATTCGTTCGTTCGTTCATTCGTTTGTTTGTTTATTCATGAATTTATTAATTCATTCATCTACCTATCCATTAATCCATCAGTTAATTAATGAACTTATAGATTCGGACATTTTTTCATTCATTCATCTGGCGATCAATCAGATCATTCACTCGTTCATCCAACCTTCTATCCATCCGTTCATCAATCTATTCATTCATTCACTCATTCATCCATTATTTGAGACATTTTTTAGGCCAAGCATTTTTTAGAGGTCCAATCATACAATTTATCTAATTAAAGTTAGCATTGTAAAGTTCTTCATTTGTTTTTCCTTTACAAAGAAATAAGAAAAAAAACTAAAAAATGAGAACAGATCCAAATCTATGAGAAGCCAAATGATCAGTTAACAACTTTGAATGTTATATCTTTCAAGATTTCGTTAATAAGAGACAAAAAAATAAATATATATATATATATGTGTGTGTGTGTGTGTGAGTGTGTGAGTGTGTGTGTGTGTTTGTTTGTGTGTGTGTGTGTTCGTTTGTTGGTTTGTTTGTTTGTGTGCGATAATGACAATAATATAATAATAATGATGATAATACAATACGCGAAATGTATGTAATACCATTAAATGAATACTCAGACACACACACACGCACGCACACACACACACACGCACACATCTATTTTATCATATCACAACAAATCTCCAAGAAAATGAAAATAGAAAAAAATTGTTATTATTTCTATTATTTTTAAATGTTCATCCACCTCAACCCGTGAATTAATAGCAGCCTGACTAACACAAAACAATGCAAGTATCAATTCTTTAATATCAATAAAATACACAAATATAATATATATATATATATATATATATATATATATATATATATATATAAGGATAAGTTAAGATCATATTAAAATTAGCATAGAACAGTATGAAATAAAATATATATAATATATATATATATAATATATATATATATATATATCCAATAATAAAAAAACTCTCTTTCTCACACACTCTCTCTTTTTCTCTCCCTTTCTCTCTCTCTCTCTATATATATATATATGTATATATATGTGTGTGTGTGTGTGTATATACATATATATGTATATTATAGTAATCTGTCGCTGGCCCTATCACTGCCCGGCCTCTGATTGGCTAGGTGTTTTTTGTACTCGTAGACGGCGATGATGACGAAGAGGATGAGGAACTCAAGGAAGATTCCAATCAGCGGCCAGACGTAATCGTGCCTGCCTGCTTTGTAGTCGTCGTTAGCGATTGAAATTATCAACCAGACAACCAAACCAATCAATCAACCAGCCATCCATCCAACCAATCAACCATCCATCCACCCAATCAACCAACCAACCAACCATTCATCTAACCAATCAACCAACCAACCATCCATCCATCCAATCAATCAACCAACCATTCATCCAACCAATCAACCGACCAACCTTCCATCTATCCAACCAATCAACCAACCAACCAACCATCCAATCAACCAACCAATCAACTAACCAATAATCCATTCATTCAATCAATCAACCAACCAACCATTCATTCATTCAACCAATCAACCAACCGCTAATCCTAATCATCAGTGTGACATTAGATTGCGAAGCGGTATCATTGTAGCATTGCAGAGGAATAAAATTTGAGGCAAAACACGTATATTTGGCTCTGTCCGACATCTGCAAATCGGCAATGCTAAGAATCGAAATGAAACCAGTACGGTGGTGATGATGATGAAGATAATGAAAATAATGATGATGTTTGGAAGACTCCAATGTTCTATTTTTATCACCGTTGTTGTTGTCGTTGTTGTACCAAATGACGTCATCTTCAACGTCATCGTCGTCGTAGTCTTTGTGGCTGATCGATTTCTCATCAATTTTTATATTCAAGTATCTCTTTCTGATCTTCATCCTACGCATCATGTCTGTCACTCCACTGCTCGCCTGGCTCACATTTGAAACATTATTACCCAAATTACTAATCCCGTCATCTCGATTAACGACTTCCGTTTCCGTTTTAATTGGGACGCCATCTTTAAACCACGTGACTTCCGGCAGCGGCCAACCCCAGACGAGGCACTGTAAGGTCAAGTTTTGGCCTTGCTTGTATTTGTTGGAACCCTCGTGTAACATTCGCACGCTAGGGGGGGCTGTTGACGGTTATTATTATTATTATTACTATTATTATTATTATTATTAGTAGCAGTAGTAGTAGTAGTAGCAGTAGTAGTATCAGTAGTAGTGGTAGTAGTAGTAGTAGTAGTAGTAGTAGTAGTAGTAGTAGTAGTAGTAGTAGTAGTAGTAGTAAAAGTATCGTTTTGAATATATCATTGAAAACATTATCACCGAAAAGCTGGACTTTTTCTACTATTACTCTTTCATTTTCCTCTTTCTTTCCACCATCATCGCCACCATCATCGCCACCATTATCGCCGTCAGCAGCAGCAGCTTCATGGTCGACAGTCACGTGGCAGTCGTACTCGCCGATATCGGCCATTCCTTAGTGTCGGTGATTTTTGGGGATGTTGAATGATTTCAAAGAAGTAACTATAATAATAATAACACATTTACAATTTCACAACGGCCATAATCATTATCA